GCCTCCATCTCTCTCTCTCTCTCTCTCGATCTCTCTCTATCTTTCTATTTCTTCTCTCTTACACCATATATAATGATATTTAGCGCGGTGGTGTTCAAGTATATATACACATAAACTGTGTTGTTCGATGAATGCTTGCGTCGTGTGCTTAGTGTGGTCAAGGCCATGACTTTGATTATAAATTAAGGGTACATAGCTAATAAGGGCAAATGATCAGTCTTGGAAGAAGTCAGCTAATAAATCGTCAGCTGTTGATGATTCCTCATAGAAACATGTTACTGGTAACCGTTGTAGAGAATCTGTGGTGTAAAAATTAGCAAGTGGCATGGACTTTTTTGGAAAGTTTGCAGTCTCATCAGATATTGAACCAATAAAAGTCTAACTGAAAGAGATACCCTTTGACTATGGAAAATTGGGTTCCGAATTTACTCTTTGTATTTAGGAAAATTTCAACCAAGCCATCTCATTGATTTGGAAAGCATATATTTAATTTCATTATATATATATATATATTATAGCACTATTGCTGCTAAAAAAAAACACCGCAAAAGATATATAGTAACGGTGATTATGAAAGGCTATTATAGAGTGTAAAAGATATATAGTAACGGTGATTATGAAATAGTGTGTGTGTGTATTATTTTATTTATTTAAAAAATTTTTCTAAATAAATAATATTAAAAGTTAATTTTGTGGCCGTGTTCGATATTAGAGATTGGAGTAGGCTGTGAAGTCAATTTTCAACCATAGGCACAAGCGATGACTTCTGCCCTTTCTTTTCCCCGTTTCAATTTAAATTTGTGGGCCTGCTTCAACTAACAATTTTATACGGACTATACCGATTATATCATTTCATGTCATTGCATCAACTAACAATTTTTATTTTGACGGTCAGGATATTTTCATAGATAGCTTTTATCATTAAAACTAAGTTATTTTTCCGATTTGATTTAAAGAATTGACTATCTACCCGTAATTATGATAACGCAATTCACTGCAATTATTAATCAAATTTCATGCACGTTGTAATTAATTCTTTTACAATCTGCAGCTTATTCCATCAAGCAAAACTATTGAAGGCATTGATTAAACTATTTTTTTTTTATTAACACGGGTATTTAAATTAGCATATCTTAACTAATTCCTTACATACTGAAATTAATTATTATATAAATATTTAATAATTTTAATATTTATGAGATTTAAATTAATAATTTTTTAAAAATAAATATAAAATCAAATCAATTAAGTTATACCTATCAAGATTAACATTGCTTAAACTTTGAGAGTATGAGAAGGAACTTGATTTATATCCAAGAGTGGCAGCTATCTTTTCTTGTTAGTTGGACGCTCGGTATCCCTTTTGATAATAATCAAAAATACACTAGGGATTGTTTTATAATTAAAACAGAGGTTCTAAGAAAAATTTAGACTATATATTAAAAAGAAAGGATAAGATACAAAAATTCTAATCATAATTTTGATATTCAAATGAAGTTTTTAATGGTGGGTATCGTAACTCTTTTAAGACTTAATTTGGGTGATATAGATAGGTATTAATTAGATGTTCATTTATAATTTTACTAATTTATAAATTAGAAATTTCTTATCATCACTTTTATTTGGATTTGAATATAAAGATATATGTTTTTAAAGATACATGTTTTTAAAATTTCAATATATAATTTATATTATTATTTAACATATATATTCTCTCCAGTAAGAATTTATTAAAATTAAAATTAAAATAAATTCAAATTACTTTATGCAATTAAATAGCTCAACGTACAAGCTTAAATTATAGATAAAATTTTAAAATATTATTTATATTATTCTATAAAATTATAGATAAAATTTTAAAATATTATTCTATGTAACAAAGTGTCTTGTAAAAGTGAGAAATGGAATGATTTCTTTTTTCTTCTGTAATGAAAATTACTAATAAAGTTCAATCTTAGTAGAATCAATAAAAAGAATCAGTGCATGAAAATTAAAAACCTTAATCGACAATGAATCAGGGAGTCAAAGACTGCTCCTATATGTAAGTGATTGTAAACCCTACAGTTCCGTGATGGATCGAGCTGCACTGCACTGGCACTGTGAACTCTAGAAACTAGAAAGTTAAAATATTAAAATAAATTATGTATAGATTCACTCTTTCATCCATTAAACTTTCTCAATATTTCTTCTCAAAAAAATCAAAATATTAATATTAAATACATTAAAATACAATTGAGTAGTTAAAATAACTTTCTTTTTCATTGAAAATTCCATGTATTTTGAATTATTTTGTATTCAAATTGTTATATTTTTCAGCAAAAGGAAAAACTTTTCTTGATTATCAAATATATCCCTCTACTGAACCAAACTTGTTATATCAATATAAAAGTGATACACTTCATTGCGGACTGAGATACTCTCAACATCAGTACCGTTGGCATTATTCTGCATATAAAACAAGTAATCAACAGTAATAATCATAAATGTCATTAATTTATCATCAGCAGCCTCTTCGTTTACCTGCCCTCGAATTGCTAATAGTATTCAACACATTCACTTCAGGTGAAAAACGAATGTGTACGGCGTTTTGAATTTATTCGGCGGTTTTCATGTTTTGTATTCGTGGATGTTTGGAGCTGTAATAAAGATTAATTTTTAAAATACTTTTTATTTAAAAAAATATTAAAAAAATAAATTTTTTTCAAAGGTGATTTTGAAATGTTAAAATAAATAAAGACTATGTAGTTTTGTTTAAAAAATTAATAAGTTATATTAAGTTTTGATTGGCGCTTGGAAAATCTATTGGAATTAATTAAATTAATTTTTGTTTAATTTAATTTCAACTTAAATCAAATATGGAGGATAAAAATTATTTTTAAAAATATTTTTTATTTGGAAATGTATTAAATATATATATATATATTTTATTTTTAATAAAATTAACACATCAAAATAAATTCAAAACATTAAAAAAATAATTTAAAGTTAAAAAAATTAAAAACATAATTATACTGTAATACTAAACTGAAACTTAAAGAACCGATAACTATATTAACAAAAAGACGAACAAGTAAATAACACTCCACCAAACATCGTTTGAAAAAGATAAAAATAATTGAGTTGTCGGCCTTTTCAAAATTAATAGGGTTGGGAAAAGTGACAGGAAGCGAAAATGATAGCTTGCTGACTTTCAGACTTTAAACGATAACATTATAATTGGTTCAATCAAAGCATGATGATGGGGATCGATTAATAGATTAGCAATATTATAGATTGTTTTTTTAAATATTTTTTATTTTTAATATTAGTATATTCAAATATTTTAAAAATATAAAGAATAATT